GTGGAGAACATGAGAGAAAAGAGGGAGGACGAAATTTGGACCCCCCAAAGGGTTACTTAGCTACCCTAATGTGTTTCCCTAAGTCTCTTTATATATAAATTGGATTGGACTTTGTTTTAGGCTTTTCTGTTGTTGTAATCTTCTTTATGATAATGTAATATCCTCCAATCATCTTTTAAATAATCCAATATTGATGACTTGGGCTCAAGCCCAATAGACAACCATGAGCCCATCACTAATAAAGTCATGCACAATCAATAAGAGTTGTCATCTATGAAGCCTTGCACCCAAGGATCCTTGACTAAAGGCATGCTTAGAAAGCTTCAAGAGGACCTAGAAGACCTGTCCAAGCCACCCAGCCCAAGAAACTACTTCATTTGGAGCCATGAAGAAAGTGACTTCCGGATTGGGCCACGCTCAGCCCATTCTAGCCACCGCCCAACGTTTCATGTGAAGCCCACGCCAGCAGCACATGCGTGCCAACAACTGGCCTTCCAGAAGTTTCTTCTGCATGACCCATGTGACGCATATGTGGCCCATGATCCGTGATATTCGACTGATCATTAGCTGCTGGTGCTAGGATCGTGAATAGCTTAAGCTTTGCTATAAATGATCATCGTTTATCTTTGTAAAGATACTTTTGAATGAATATGAGAAAGCCTTTGCTGCCTTGAAGCCAGCCCCCTTACTCTGCCTAAAAGTCACCTTCCTTGAGCTTCCCTTTTTCTCTCCTCTAGCTTCCTTCCAGGGATGGAAGGCCGTCTGAGCTAGCTTCGCCTCCACCAATAGCTCCTTCCTCCACCAACAACCTTCACTTAATTCATTACTTGCGTTGCCAAAGGAAATCCAATGCGCAACATCATCTCTACGCACGGTCCAAACCACATTCCGCTGCTTCATTATCACCCATAGATGGGACATAACTCATCAAATATCTTCAAAATATATGTGATTGCTGTGGAGATCTAAAAATATTTGAGATGATATATGTTAGATTAAAACAACTGTTGTAAATATTATCTTTTGGTATTTATTGATATAGTTAAATAAAGTAATTATTTAACAATATCAAATAAAATATCTTAAGACATATTTTTCCCAAATTATCTTCAATCATAAACATTTATGAATTATCAAAGCCCTTTTAGTAGAAAAAATAGAGAAAACCGCAAGATCAAATTTTGTTGCTTATTCCCTCTTCTTGGCTTTACCAAATTTTTCACTTTTTCATGTTATGCTTGGATTGACTTCTTATGGTCTTGATTATTTTTTATTCTTGAATTTATCTTTAAGGTGTCATGACACTTTACCCAATTTGTTTCCACATCTCAATGAGCTCAACTTAGCTGCAATTCCACTAACACGCATCAAAATATCCAAAAAACATTTATGCAACTAAAAAACTATTTTTAACATGTTTTTGTATCTCATGCTAAATAAACCCAATTATAACAAATCCTAATTAAAATATTCTATTAAAGTATAAAAATCAATTAAAGAATCCAATATTAGAGACCAAATAAGGGGATAAATATGTACTCATTAGATGCTCTAGCTTGAAGAGTTTCATTAGAGTCTAGTTTATGGAATTTACCTAGATGACTTATAAATCATGTATGTGTTGAGTGTTAATGATATTATGTAACATATTTGTTCTAAAGCATTCTAACTTAGGTTTTGTGTAGCTGAAGTGAGACCAAGTTGATAAGTCGTCTATAAATATAGGGATAGATCATCTGATGACCCTATTGACAATATAAACGTTACTAAATTGAATATTTTCTAATGACTAAGAGAAACTAATATTTTTACCATAGTCCTAAGTGAGTTGGAATACTAAAATAAGATGATCCAAGCCAAGAAAAAAGTGCTAAACATGTTTAATCTATATTTCACCATAATGATGATATTGTCTTGTTAGTGTATTATTTGATGGACTTATTTAGTGAAAATATGATGATATTGTCTAATGAATTTGTTTAGTGAAAAAATATTTTTCATTAAATTTACAAAATTAAACATTTTGAGATTATCAATGTGACATTCTCAATAAGAAAATTTGAATAAAATATGAAAATAAAAAAATGCATAATTGAAGTTGTAATGAGAGAGAAATACTATCAAAATTAATATATGCTAAAAGTAGAATAAATTTAGATAATATGGAAACAAATTTATTTATGATTCTGGTGGTTAATCATTATATAAAACAGTGTTTTCTTTTTCAAGTCACGTTATATAAGATATTTTTGCACATAATTTAATTACATATTCACTAAATTTTACGATAATAATTATAAAATATACCATTAATACTTTTTTTATATAGTAATAATGAATTCTACATTAAACCGCTCTTAATTTTGTTTCTTACAACCACCACGGCAACTACATCTGCAGCTAAATTTTTACTAGAAAGGATATGAACAGGTTAAGATATCCCGAAAAACATGAATATTACTTTCTTTAAAATCTTGCGTGTCATTGATCATAATAACTATATGAAGGTATAATTTGGGGGACATAATGTAGGAGTGAGAATATAACAATGCAAGTCACGGTGTAAACGACGATTCTACATTACCAAAAAATAATTCTACAAATGTTGACCAGAAAAAAATAATAATAAAAACTCTTCAATCCTGCACAGAATAGGTTGCAAATGCAACACTAGACACGAAGCACCGAAGTTTCAAATAAAGCTTCTGATTCGGTCATTTGAGCACTGACTAGTCTTTGTTACACATTCTTCGTGAATCTGAAGCTGTTTCTTTTATGTTCATGACCAGTCTTTATCTTTTGTTAGGGATGTATTTGGCTTTTCATGTTTCAGGCAGAGCCAGGATTTGGTTTCCTTATAGAGGAAAATCAAAATTCAAGATCAAAATCAAGCACAACCCACCAACACCACCATGCAGAGGTGGAAGTGGCACAGAAAGAAACCCCCCATTTTCCCTTTACTTGTGCTTGTCTTGCTGTTCTTCATAGCCTTCTCAACCCTCCACAGTGAGCACACCATTCAACGAATCCATGAAATCCCAGATCATGTTCTTAACCACCAAGAGGTTTCTTCAGCCACCTTTGTCAAACCCAACCTCTCTGGTCACCTCAAGCAAGCTCCAGGTATGGCATTTCTCTTCACTGCTTGCTTTGTGCTTCATTGGAGGCTAAGCTTTGTGCTTTCTCTGACTTGTTGAAATGGGGTTGTTGGATTTTAGAGGTTTTGGATAGATTCAGTAGATGCAACTCTACTGTTGAGTATTTGGCAAGGAAAATTGCTTGGCGTGGTGATTCTTGGCAGTCTGGTCGCCGGAGAGTGAGGCCGGAAAGTTGTGATGTTTTTTCAGGCAAATGGGTGTTTGATAATGTTTCGCATCCACTGTACAATGAATCAGATTGCCCTTACATGTCTGACCAATTGGCCTGTCACAAGCATGGAAGGTCTGATTTGGGTTACCAGTATTGGAGATGGCAACCACATAACTGCAATTTGAAGAGGTGGTTCTCTATCTGAGCTTTGTGTTTGTGGTTTTTGGCTGAATCACCATGGTCAAGTTGTTGCTTTGGACTTAGAGCTTGATTGGAGGAAACTTTGGAAAAATGATACGAAAAATTAAAATCATTTTCTCCACAGCTTGTGCATAATAAAAAAAAAAAATCTGATTTGGAAAAGTTAAAACGAAATAATTTTACAAATTAGGTTATGTATAATTTCATCTTACTTGTGGAAAACTAATTTTATTTTTCTTCTTTTTTCCTCCTAGACTTGTGAAGATGTTTCTCCAAACAGGCCCTTAGTGGTGACATGAGTTGGAATAATCCAATTCAATTGCTTGAAGGTTGTCAGTATTTTGTGAAGTTGATGTGTGACCAAGATTTAGCTTTGTAAAGGTCCAAGTAGAATAACATTTTGTTGAGTTGTTTGTTAGGTAGGAACCAAGAGTTGAAAAGAACAAGAAATAGGAGACCACCCTCTCTCTCCAAGAGCTTCATAAAAGATTTCTCATTAATGCTCAATCTAAAGAATGAAACATCCTCCCCTCTCTTATCCATCTTCCCGTACTTATATCTAACACCAGTCTAACTAACCTAACCTAACATATTAATGGTCTATCTTAATTAATTTCTCCTTCTCCTTATATCCTAACGTCGTTCCTGTGGATAGTGGAAATTTTTTAGTTTTTTCTGGTGCCTAAATGTAGCATTAGCTGTGGGTTGTGTACGTGTTTATTTAACTATTGGGTTAAGTTATTTAAGCCCTACAAATTGGGAATGTTCTTCTTTAGTCCCTGATATGTATGTCAATGCTATTGTAGACATTAATATGGGATCAGGGAAACTGCAATCGTACAATTTTTCTATTTATAGGAACTAGAAACATATTAAATCTTTAATTATTTATGTGATAGGGTAGGTTTCTTCTGATAAGATCCACTGACTTCTTATATCAAACAGGTGGAATGTGAAAGAAATGTGGGAGAAGTTGAGAGATAAAAGGCTAATGTTTGTTGGTGATTCACTAAATAGAGGGCAATGGATATCAATGGTATGTTTGTTACAATCAGTAATTCCCGCTGATAAGAGATCAATGTCACCAAATGCCCATCTCACCATTTTCAGAGCAGAGGTAAGAAACCTTTACTGGAAACAATTTTATGATGTTATAAATGTAGTCATTCATACCAATATGTGCCTTTTTCCATCATTTAACCGAATTTCTTTATACACATTGCTTGCTCCAAGACTTGTTGATGGGGTCTAGTTCACAAGTGCCATTGTTTTGAGTCTCATTTCCTGCACACTGCTATTTTTGTACTAATTTTCAGGATTATAATGCAACTGTGGAGTTTCTCTGGGCTCCCCTGCTTGTTGAATCTAATTCTGATGATCCAGTAAATCACAGACTAGATGAACGCATAATTCGTCCTGATACAGTTCTTAGACACGCATCACTGTGGGAAAATGCTGATATTCTTGTTTTTAACACATACTTATGGTGGAGACAAGGCCCAGTTAAGCTATTGTCTGTATCAATTCATCAATGTACAAGTTGTTTTTTAAGGAAAATTTTTCTTCTCTGTTCTAATGTATCTTGTATTTTCTTCTATGGCAGATGGACTACTGAAGAAAATGGAGCTTGTGAAGAATTGGATGGGCGAGGAGCCATGGAGTTGGCCATGGGAGCTTGGGCAGAATGGGTATCTTCAAAAGTTGATCCCCTGAAGAAGCGTGTCTTTTTTGTGACCATGTCACCAACTCATCTCTGGTGAGCAACCAATCTATATTTTGTATGATCATATATGGAGGGAAACATTGCTAGTATGCATTCTTGGAGATAGACCTTTTTCCACAGGTTATATTATGATACAATAGCTAGAGCGGAAACCAGTTTTTGCTGGCTGGTCTAGATTAACTTTGTTGTGTATTCTTAGAACTTATAGCAGAATTATATTGATTGTTATCATTCCTCTTAACCATGTTTCATTGGATAACCCAATCCAAATTCTATGGTTTACAACTTACCTGTTCTAGAGTTTTTAATTCCTTGGCTTCTAGTCCTCTCACTTCCATGACAGAGCAGTTCTGTTAGATAAGCACCGTAAGAGTACTTATAGTTTGTAGTTTGAATTTTGACTTTCTTTGAAAATAATCTAATACGATTCTGTTGTGTCAAGATATTTTAGGTTTTAGAGAGTCAAATTCAATTGGTTAAAGAGTGTTTGGAAGTTGTTGTAAACTTCTCGGTACCTATTCTAGGTTGTCAAACGTGAGTTTGTGGATCTTCCACCAAGCTGGCTTGTGTAGTTGATTCTTAAGCTCTGTGACCTGTCAACTCTTATGAAATAGAAAAATTAAAATTATTAGAAGACTTACTAATGACATATAGGCAAAACAAAATGCTATTAACACAACAATAATTCAATATTTCAACATCATTATAAAGCTAAATAGAAAATTCCACTAATGAAGTGTTGATTATATATTAAATACAATATTAGATCAAACTACTCTAGTGATCAAATTATATATAAATTCATAAAAATGTAAGTCACAGTAGGATCTTGTGTACTAAACTACTTTCTAGGATAAGGGCATCTAAAGTATAACAACTTAGATATTCTTATAGAGCGTGTTGCTTATCAGAAGCATCTATTGGATTAAAGCGTCTAGCAGGGACTTTTTTTATCTGCTTATGTGCTAGCAATCTGGTTTTCTGCATAACTATTTACACTCATTTAGTTAGAAGTTCATTATTGTTTCTAGCTAATTCTTAACAGTCTTGTAAAAAGCTCCTTTTAGAGCATCTACCTCTCTAGTAGAGAAAAAAATTGCACGGCATAGTAAATGAGATGACTTATTCTTGTTGACAAACAAGTCTTTCTGGATAAACACTCTGTAATATTACTTGTGTTTTTACATTGAGTGGTACAAGAACTATTTTGTCTTGGCCCTTCAACTACATCCATTAAATACAACTACTACCTAAACTATATTTAATGAACAATATTGCATGCCACAATCATTACTAGAAGCACTCCTAACCTTTGCAATTCCTAAGACTACTAATTATGATAGAACTATTAAAGGTAACTAACCACATTTAAGTTTATCTAACAATTCTTGCTATCTTGCTTTGTGTGTTCTTTGTTTGTTTGTCTCCAAAAGTGTGTTTGACAACCAGTGTTGTTGCATTTGTTCTTCCATTGTTTGTGGGCTCATTTTATCCAATGTGCACAATGGTCATTAAAGTGAAAAGATTTTAAAATGAGTTGCTTTCCAGATCATCTAAGTCATGGTATAGCAATTATTGTGGGGTCAATGGGAACAAAAATTATAGCTGATTTCACATTTATGAACATGCTTCTTGATTTGAGAGTTTATGCAAGTTTATCCAATAAAAAGTTTGATATAGAATGGTTCAATATAGTAAAAACTATGTATGAGATTAATCTCCCTTTTGATACATAAGGTACTTTATTTATAATAGAAGAAATATGGGTTAAGCCTAAAATACAAATAAGGAATAATAACAAACTAACTAAAAATAAAAGATAAAGATAACATATATAAGATATCTAATAATCTAATATATCTAACATTTCTCCTCAAACTGATACATACAAATGTGTGTATACCAAGCTTGTTACAAATATAATAAATAAAGACTTAATGAAAATATCTACTTTTGCACTCGAGTGATACCAAATTATTAATGATTTGTGAAGACGATTAACCAATTCAGAAGACTCCCCTGAGCAACAAATTCAAGAGGTTGCTCCATTTAAATGTCTACATGCAAATCGTCGTTAAGGAACTCTAGTTGATAAAGAGATCATTGTTGAAGACCACCATGGTTATTAATAAACTAACAGAAGCCATCTTTGCCATTAGAGAAAAAACATATATGGACGAGTCAGACACACTAGTGATAGAACAAAGGTCAAAAGAGATAGCAGCGGAAGAAGCCATGGATGAACAAAAACCCTAAAATCTAAGATTCTCCAATCAAGGAACCAGAAACAGGAAAACGGGCAACCTCAGCGCTTTGAATCACTATCGGAAAGGAGACGGGACGCGTCACCATGCACGACGAAAAAGGGAGCAGATCCACAACTTAGAAAGGTGTCGAGAGTGCGTAAGAGCTCTGATGAAGGCGTCGTTGACGGCATGGTGGTCGACTGGTTGAGATGATCAAAACTGTGTGGTCTCTGGTCGAAATTGGAACTTTGGTGATGGCGGCGGTAGATGGCGCCGTTGCCGGCATGACGGGTGTAGTGGCAGAGGCGACAAATTTTTTTTTCTAAAAGAAACATAGGCTCTGATACCATGTTCAATATAGTAAAAATTATGTATGAGATTAATCTTTCTTGTGTTGAATATACACATAGGGTACTTTATTTATAATAGAATAAATATGGACTAAGTCCAAAATACAAATAAGGAATAATAACAAACTAAATAAAGATAAAAGATAAATATAAGATATATAAGATATGTAATAATCTAATTTATCTAACAAGAATTAACTCATTGTCCTCTTGAAATTGTGAAAGATTTGAGGAGTTTAAAATTTAATTTGAGAGATTGTCATCATGTTTTTGTTCAATTCCTTTGAATAAAAAAAGATGTTAGCTCTTGGTTAGTTTAGTTTGTAAGAACCAACGTGTTTAGCCTTGAAGGCTTGGTTTGATTCCCATTGTTCATAATTTCCCTTGGTAGGTCACAAATGAAGCTCTTGTTGACGGATGTTGCCTTTGACATGTACTAGCCAATGGGGTATCCTCCTTGCCTTAAACTTAAATTGTATTAGCTCCCTTTGAAGTTGAATCTGACTATGGAATTTTAGATGTCAATTGGCCATTACCTAGTGATCACCTATTGTGCACTAAGTGCCCCTTGTTGGTATATATGATACAGGTTTGCTCTCACTAGAAGGTGGAGTGTCAATGGTGAGATGTGGGAGGATTGATGGCTCCTTGTTGAGCTGACAAAATCCATAAAGATGAACTTTGATTGTAATTGTTAGAATACTCAGTGAAGGTCCACTTATAAAAGTCTCTTCGACACTTAAATTTTTAAGAGCTTTAGAATAATAGTAATATAATAGTGGAGATAAGTAGGTAGGTAGTAATCCCTTTGGTAGTGGTATATATTTATAGGATTTTGGGTCTATGTGAGTGAAGCTTAATAACAATAAAGGATAATCTGTTGTTGTGTTCTTTGCATCACTAAATTGAAATTAACTACAAGATTTCGGTTCCAAGTCCAACACTCAACTGACTAGGTTGAATTTTGGACTACTGGATTGAAGTTTAAGTTTATCAAAATAGGAAATACTACAAATATGAGTATCTTGGAGGTAGGTAGGTACACAAACCCCAAGCTTAGAAGTCGAGTGAGTAAGTTATGTAAGAGGCTGAACGATTTGTTCACCTTTATAGGGTGAACAAGTTTGACAAGGTAGACTTTTAACGATTGGGTTATTGATGGTTGACCTTTTATGATCGAATTTTATGGTTATGATTTGTATTAATTCTATTTTTATGTGTTTGAATACGACCACTTTATTTCGCCAAGTATATAAAAAATCTTTGCAATGATGAGCAACCATTGTAAAATATACCTTTAATGCTCATATTTTTATGACCAATCTTTTTGGTGGCAATCATGTGTTTTCAAGACATGTCATTAAGACGTGACATTTTGGTAAGGGTGTGTTGTTTTGCACAAGATCAGTTAATGTTCTTTTTAAAGACACTTTTACTTCCGTTTTGACACTTTTTCTTTTATTCAATATCCTTCAAGAGCACACTTGCCTTCTTCTCCTTATTTGTTCGTATCCTGCAACTTGTTCTTCTTTCCTTTTGTCAATAGAGGTATGTTCTTTATTTCAACAAGTCCATTTTCCTCTCATCTTTTCCCAACGCTTCTTATGTGGTACCCTCTAGTCTCCAAAGGAGTTAGCAACATTGGAGAGTACTTGTTCCAAAGAGTTGGCCTGAACTCTTTCTCCATAGGGAAGGGACATGGTGGAAGAGATAGCCCTCTTTCATCTTTCATTGGTGTTATCTGGTGACCGCCCCTTCTTGGTGGAGATAATGCATGTTGTTTCCAATTTTTACTTAAGTGACACACTACTTCTCAAGAGACTGTAGAATTGGTAGGGTTGAGTAGGTTGAGAGGTAAAAGCAAAGATAGGTTTCCCTCTATTTTCATTTCGGTGAAGTTGATTCCTACGCCTCTAAGTATACCTTGAGGGATTTTATAGAGGAGTTCCTCAATTGTTTAGTGCATGTAATAGTGATGTTGTTGGGGCTCATTAAAGGTTGAAGTGTGTTCTGCCGAGAATAAGTGTACACAAAACTTCCTTTATGACATATATTTTACCTTTGTATGAGTGCTTTACGAAAGAACATCATATTGACAGTGATAATAAAGTATATGGGTCACATAGAACTTGGAATTTGTCAATTTGTTGATCACATACCCCTAGAGGTTGTTATGTTATTGTTGGAGGCTGTCTGATGTTGTCGAACAAGCTCCAAGCCTTGGCGAGTTAAAATCATATGTTCTCTCTGTTGTTTCATGGCTGCAATTCTGTTGTGCATTGTGTCGTTGTTCTTTTGAAACAGTTTCTCCATATGTGTTGAGGTTGTTTATGATTGAAGAAAGATCCATCTAACAGTTTGAAGAGGAGATGGTATTCTTCTGGCTTCTAGTAATTACCATAAATGTGAGTGGGTTGGGAAAGATTTTACCCAAGCCCAATAATGGGTGCCAACAGGTTTTACCAAAAGGTAGAGCATTGTTGTACAAACCATAGAAGAAGCGAAGTCTCCTTATCGACCTTGTGGACCTCCGTGAGGAGAACCTTCTTGGGGAGAGTAATTCCCAAGTTGAACACCTATGGAGAGCCTCTGATGCTACAATTTCATGTTAAGAGTGTTTAGAATAATAATAATATAACAGTGAAGAAAATGAGGTGAATCGGTCCAACAGTTATTAGGTTCCTATATGGGATCTTCCATAGACACTGAAAAACAAAAAGGAATTGGCTTTTGCTGAAGTCGTCATTAGTTTATGAAAATTAGAAGTGAATTGAAAGTATTTTTATTCGTTATTAATGGTGTATGATATTGTTTTGTTATCCTCGTATTTAGTTCCGAAATGCATCTCATTCAAAATATTTGATATCTTCTCATTTATATCGCTACACCTCTCTATCTATACCATCACAACATTAATTGATGAAATCCAAATATCTCCTCCTCCATGTTTTCTCACTGAATTGAAACTATTATCATTCAGGAGCCGAGAGTGGAAACCAGAAAGTGAAGGAAACTGCTATGGGGAGAAGGACCCTATTTACAATGAGGGCTATTGGGGAAGCGGTTCAGATTTGCCTACAATGAACAA